GCGCCGGCCCGCCGTTCGCCCGCCGCCTCCCTCCCTCCTTCCCTGCGGCTCCCCCGGCTTTCGGAGCCCGGGGGCGGCCTGTGGCGCGCGGAGCCCGCGCGGGACTGCGCCTCTTTGGACCTTGAGGGGAAACATGCGTTTGGCTTGGATCGTTTTAAATTCTTAGTTTGGGATCCCCGCCCGCCTGCCTCTTTCGCCCCGCGGGATTTCTTTTCCTTTTTTTTTCTTTTTTCATTTTTTTTCCTTTTCTTCCTCCCGGTCTCCTTTTGACTCCCTCCCCCTTTATGCTCTCCCAGCCCTCCTCCCTCTGCTGAGAAGTGGGGGAGGGTCTCGGCCTCCAGTTTCCCGCCCCACCGGGGCCCGGGCGAGCATGGGGGGCAAGCAGAGCACGGCGGCGCGCTCCCGGGGCCCCTTCCCGGGGGTCTCCACCGATGACAGCGCCGTGCCCCCGCCAGGAGGCGCGCCCCACTTTGGGCACTACCGGACGGGCGGCGGGGCCATGGGGCTGCGCAGCCGCTCGGTCAGCTCGGTGGCGGGCATGGGCATGGACCCCAGCACGGCCGGTGGGGTACCCTTTGGCCTCTACACCCCAGCCTCCCGGGGCACCGGCGACTCCGAGAGGGCGCCCGGCGGCGGAGGGTCCGCGTCTGACTCCACCTATGCCCATGGCAATGGTTACCAGGAGACGGGCGGCGGTCACCATAGAGACGGGATGCTGTACCTGGGCTCCCGAGCCTCGCTGGCGGATGCTCTACCTCTGCACATCGCACCCAGGTGGTTCAGCTCGCACAGTGGTGAGTCCAGGGGTGGTGAAGGCCTCGGAGGGTGGAGTGGAAGGGAGGGCGCGCCGGGGCGCCCCAAACCTTCGCGTGCTGGTCAAGGTTTGGGTATGGAGTGCACGACCTGGATCTGTCTGCTTTGCCTTTGGTTCCCTATGCCAAGGGGTGAATGGATATCTATCCTCTAGAAAAGAGGCTTTCTGCGACGCTGCGGAACTAGGCATTTTCGGACTCCAGGCGTGTGTACACTTGTGGATGGGCGGAGTGAAACCTGCCAATTGAAGTCCCATTTTTTGGCACCACCATCCTCAGAGAAGAGGTGTTGTCTGGCTTATAGCAAGTCAGCTTGGGTTCTTCCTTTCTGCCACTGCAGCATGGTGCCTACCTTACAGTTAACAGAGAGGTGGATTCAGTTTGACCCACTAGCGTCTTCTAAACAAGGAGTGTAAGAAGAAATAAAATTGGGGGCAAATGGTGCTAGGATTAGGGCTCTCACCCTTGCTGGGAAAGGAGGGTCCCCAATTTTATTTGACTTTTTAAAAATGGAGAAGCCAGCAACCACCTATCATAGACAGGAGTGGTCTTCTGTATGGAGGGCCCAGCCAGGGAGCCTCCCTCACTGGGCTTTGTAGGACCAGGGTTCTGGTCATCCGTGCTGCATGCAGTAGGCTTGGTTCAACGACTCTCACATCCCTCCATCTTTATTCTTCTGCTCCATGCGAAGTGCTTGCTCTTCCCATGAATCTGCATCTTTTTGTAGCAGAGAGGCTGGCAAGGTGGGGTGTTATTGCCTGGCTGTTGACACATGACAGGGAAAGAGGAGGATTCAAAGAATTTGGATGAATTCATTTTGTGAACTTCTGGTGACAGGCCAGCAAAAGGGTGGAGGGGGATTTCCCAGGTTCTGATGGGAAGGGCAGAAAAGGCCTGGCAGGCGCTTCTGGAGGAAAACAGGTCTTTCTGCTCTGCTCCTGAGAAGCCAGGTCAGGCTTTCAAAACATTGGTCAAAAGGAGTGTGGGGCCGCTATTTGCTAATTGACAAGTTGAATGAAGAAGTTACATATTGAGTCAGATTCCTTTGGGTGAGTTGGGAAAATTTAGATATGTTTAGACAAAGGTTGCTCCTGCCCTTAGGGTACTTATAGAGGATATATGTCTTGGATCACTGTTGAAGCTATTGTGAAATAGGGTAGACTTTTTGGATCTCTCTCTCTCTTTTTTCCTACAAATAGTCTTTTTTTTTTTTTTTAATTCTGTAAACTTGTGAAATAATTTTTTGGGGAAATCGTGACTAATTAGGTAACGCTTGGAAGTGGATTTTGCTTTTGTTTTTTGTTTTAAAAGGAATTTACTTTTTAATCGAAGCATATTGATTGTAGGAAGTGCTTTTGAATTGCTAGGATGGTATTTTAAGCCCTGAATAGACCTCTGGATATCATTCCAGCTTCTCTGACCTGCATCAAACTCTGCCCTGAATGAGATGCAAGGCATTATTTTCTTTGGCACTTTCAGGCATTTGATCAGCATTGGACATCTTGAAATTAATCATCTCATGAAATTTAGTCCAGAAAGAGTCAGCCGTGTTTGTGAGATGATTGTGGCTAAGTTTTTAGAATTTTTAACTATTATCTGGCTTTAAATTGAAAAGCACTGTAAGAATGTTCTCTAAAATCACAGAATTTTGTGATTTGAAAACAGATGTAATCTTATAAGGCTTGTGTGGGGGAGGAAGAAAGGGAATTCTCTTTTTGCTCAAATTTCTTAAGTCTGTCTCTTACTAGAAACTTCTTTATCCTTATTCCACTACCAGCTTCCATTCTAGAGTTATAAGCTTACAATTGGATTACAAAGTTTTACTCCTCAACTGTTGAAACCTTTAATTTGTTTTTTCTTTTATCCAGTTGTGGTAAGGGTAGGGAGAGCCCCTGAACCATGGAGATACATGAAAAAATGGAGCATATTAATTCTTTAGGGAAGGGTGTCTAAAGTGTGTGTGGGAGGCTGCTATTAATATTCTGGGTAATGCATTCATTACTATATAGGACTATCCTGTCCTTCTGCAAGACATTGAGCATACCTGGCCCCAACTACTCAGTGCTAGTAGCATCCTGCAATTCAGTGTGTCACTCCCAAATGCCCTTTAGCAGGAGGATAGCACCCTGATTGAGAATCATTGTTTTAGGGATTTGTTCTCTTATTCAAATAATGTTAATTAGCTTTTCCTGTGCAGTTCATTTGAGATAAACCTTTATATGCAGTAGTGAGTCTTTTTTTGGATTTTTGGCGGCTGGCCGGTATGGTGATCTGAACCCATGTCCTTGGTGTTACCAGCACCACACTCTCCCAAGTGAGCTAACTGGCCAGCCCTGCACTGTTGATTCTGTTTAACCTCCTGGAACAGGCCACGGGATCTTTTGGGACATCCCTTTTCTTGTTCATTGCTGCAAAAAGGGAAACTAATTTCTACTTTAGAGACTTTGATTAAGGTCTGAGCAGCTTTTTGCTCTTGTATATTAGAAGGGTAAGGATTTCGATGCACAAGTCTAGATGGAAGTTGACATGATGCTGTTGCTTGTGTTTTCAAGGTGCTTTTGGAACTCTTCATGTGCACAGAAAACAGTTGTCAGTGAAATAAGTAGGGGAGTTCAGTGTACACGAGGCCTCCTCAAAGACAACGAGCTTATGCTATGTCTGGAAGTAGAATACTGGGGAGGTAGAATACAGTTCCAACTCCCCTCCCAGTAGCTGTGACCTTGGGTGAGACGTGTCACTCTCTCAAGCCTCATCTTAGTTATTTTTTTTTTTTCATCTTATTTTTAAAATAGATGTGGTAATCCTCAGCTGCCTATAAAGGTTGTTCCCCAAATCTCCTGAGAGGATATACTGTAGTCATATTTGTCTTCTCTTGGTTCCTATGCACATCCCGTTCCCAATGCCTGGGATGCTTTTCCTTCAGTTCTTCACGTGGATGGTTCCTTATGATTCCTTAGGGCTCAACTGAAATTTCTCCATTCAGAGACTACTCTTAAAAGTTGTCCCCTCCTGTTGTTCTCTCCAGTCCCTCACCTGTTACTTTAATAGTTCTTAACATACTTTATAAGTATAATCTGTTTACTTTTTTTCTGTTTACCTTTTGACTAAATTCTGAGCTCCATGAGAGCAGGACCATGTCTCTTGATCTCTTGATCACTGTTGTGACTCTTGCAGTGTGCTCAGCACTAATATTTGTCTTTAATTTTTTTTTTTTTGGCGGCTGGCTGGTACGGGGATCCAAACCCTTGACCTTGGTGTTATCAGTGCACTAATATTTGTTGAGTGAATGAATCTGAGTGCTTTATGTCTGTATGTCCATCATCTCATTTAATCATCACTGCAACTCTACAAGGAAAGACCACCTCCACCCCACCCGCGTTTATAGGTGAGGAAACAGTTTTAGGGGAGTTTAAGGTACTCACACAGATCAGAGAGCTAGTATGTGGCAGAGCTGTGATTGGAACGCAGGTGTGCTGGTGCCAAAACCTGGGCTCTTAACCATCATGCTGTCCTGCCTCTCATCCTGAAACAGAAGGAAGCAAGGTAGTGTCCTGGAAATTGTGCTGGCCTGCGAGTCAGAGGGCTGGGCACATCTCCTGGTTGGGCTGCTGATTAACTGCCTGACCTGTGACTTTGGGCAAGTGAGTCATTTAACCTCAGAGTCACCATTTCGTCATCTGTAAGATGGAAATGATACCTGTCCTGCTTACCTTGCAGAGTTGTGAGGGTCTCATGAGATAATGTACACAGAAGCCAAAGGACACATAAATGGAAAGTGGTGTTTCCTATGAGGGCTTGTCTGTAGTTCTCTGCCTTCTTTTTTTTTTTTTGACCGGTAAGGGGACCTCAACCTTTCGCACGGTGCGGTCTGCACCACGCTCAGCCAGTGAGCGCACCGGCCGTCCCTATATAGGGTCCGAACCCACGGCCTCAGCGCTACCAGTGCTGCACTCTCCCGAGTGAGCCACGGGGCCGGCCCAGCCTTCTTTGATCTCTTCAGAATTTGATGGGCAGAGAGGTTTACAATTGTGTGAACTCTAGCCCCAAGTTGAAGCTAGTGCTGTTTCCTGAAATCTGACCTGCATTGATGGGCTGTTCATGATAATGAATGCCAGTGAGGAGAGCTGCTTTAGAGAAGTAGAGTTCCTTCCTTTCCACATTAAAATGTAAGTTTTGCGGTAAGGTAATGCAGTAACTCCTCATGGTTGTCTGGGTACTATTCTGGAGCCCTGGTCATTCTTTGTACTAGTCCTATTTATCTCAGAATATGGATTTCTAGATATGGAGAAAACACATAGAGGATCCACCATGTTAGAAGAGGTCGCTGTTTTCTGGGTCCTACTATAAAATGGCTGGTCATTGAGGGTTTCATTCTAACTTTTTAGTCTATGTATACACATATGCACATTCAGAAAAATCTAAACTATTCTTTATTATCACCAAGCCACCAACTGGAGCTAAGATGAGGTGACTTTTTATAAGTCTTGAACATGCTAGTAGGATATTTCATGGGTTCTATTTTGCCGCTACTCCAGCGTTCTCAAATGATTTACTTTTCTCTATTCTTAAATAATGGGGGAGAGTTGCCAACTCCACTGTAGTAGATCAGAAAGCCTCTGTACCTCACCATAGGTATGCCACAGAAAATGGGCCTTCACGTGGTTCCTGGGGAAGGACAAGCATTCTGTGGTCTCCAAAGAGCATGATGGGTCTCCTGCTCTGCAAAAGTTCTATTGCTAATGAAAACTATTTTTAAGCAGAATTTTTAGTTCTCTACTATCTTGAGGGCTTATTTTCTATAAAATTTTAAAAAGTTACCTTGAGGCAAAGATAATTTCTTGAAGGTCATAATTAACTCTTCCTCATTGAGGTTTGAAAGGTGTTGCAAGACAGAATGGTTTAGCTCTTAAAGTGTTTGTTTTATGGGATGTGTTCTTTTTTTTTGGCAGTTGGTCAGTTCAGGGACCCAAAGGGATCCAAAC